GTTGTAATTATATTCATATTTCAGTGATCCACGATGATATGATATTAGCATGGTACAATTAGCATGGTATATAATTAGCATGGTACAATTAGTTTCAGTGAGGTACAATTGTAAATTAGCATGGTTCAATTATATTTCGTATGGTACAATTACTTTTATAATAACAAAGTGTACTTACCGTCAAGTTTGTCCTTTTATCAATTTCCCTGTTGATATTTTGTGATATGGGAACATCTCTAAGAATTTTGAAATCTGTATACCAACCTTTTTTGAAAGGTACATTTTAGGTACAATTATTATCAGCCATAAAAATTTAAAAAATATCGTTGAGTTTTTTTTCGTCATTCTATCAATATTGAGTTGGCCCGTAATGTGAGCTTCAAATATTATCGAAACGAGTAAGGTACAATTAAAAATAAATTGCGGTACTATTAAGTACATTTTTGGTACAATTATTATCAGCAATAAAAATTTTAAAAATATCGTTGATTTTCATTTTTGCCATTTTTTCGGGAAACCTCCCCGTGAATTTTGAAGGACATGTTCTGCAGAAGAACATCATCGAAGTAATGACTTTATGATGATGTTATTTTGAAGGTACATTTTGGGTACAATTATTATCAGCCATAAAAATTTAAAAAATATCTTTGAGTTTTATTTTGGCTAGTTGACCGGCAAATTGAAGTGCCCCGAAATTTGAACCTCAAATATTATCCAAACGAGTAAGGTACAATGAAAAATAAATTGCGGTACAATTAAGTACATTTTTGGTACAATTATTTAAACCTAGTCCCGAATTTCGACTTTCACATGTGTGGACATTCGACTATACATCCCATTGAACAAGCCTGTAGTCGTTTGACAACACATATCTTCTTGGAAATGACTATACATAATATATTTATTCATAACCCAATAACTTTAATTTTTTTAATTTACAAATTTTTTAAGGACTTTGAAGACAATAATCGTTTTGGCGGTTCTGGTGGCTCTGGTGCTGCTTCTACCTCTGGTGTCGCCTAAAAACAATGAGAGGATGTGAAGACTTCAAGTCTCTTTGAGCCGACGGTGGCGCCCCGAATTTCAAAGGGGACGTCAATGTAATTTATCAACTCAAATCGAAACTAAGCAGCGCGCCAATTTTAAAATTTCCTGTCATTTCCTCCCATTGCCTAAAAAATATCAAGTTAAAAAATAAAAATACAAAGAGATTTAATATTTTCGAAATGTGTTTTAACTATAAACGAAATATACTTGATTTATTTAATTAAAAAAATAACAAGGTCTCTAATACAGTAGCTTTTCTATATGAAATCTGTCACACTAACGCCCTCACTTTATCTTTTGGCGAACTAAACAGACAACTTAATTTAACTAAGCATTCGCCATTGATTTTCCAGCTTGTCGTATACTGGGATTAAATCGGTCTGTACCATTTGCATCAGGAAATTTTATAAAGCCGGTGTCAAGATCAATTAAATTGTTAATAGCATTTGCCATTTTTACGCAATTTTGCGATGTGATTGCGAGATTAAGAATATAAATAAAATAAATGAACGGATTAAACGAACTTAACGAACAAAATAATTCGCACGAGTGTATGACAGGTATGTAAGAGAACAATAACATTACGTTTTGTATCTCTCTGTCAAATGTCACACTCACACTTATGAGTTTACGTTTGGAGATTTTAACAATATCATTTCTACAAGATCTACACACTCTACACCCGACGCTTTTTAAATTAAATTAAAACGCATATATTTTTTTTTTAAATAGAAATTATCTAATGCTAATTGCGCTAACTTCATTTTCAAAACAAAAAAATGAAACCATTTATAAAGTGTGTTTTTTTCGTCAAAATATATTTTCGATGTCTTTAAAGACAATATTACGATTATTTTTAGTTTATTTGTGCCAGTATATTAGAAGTTTGATGATTTACGGCTTATTCCGAATTCAAAATACGGCTTATGCCGATGACACCGAAAAAATATTTTTTTTACATAAAATTGATACATGTTTGAGTATTCCACCAAAGATTAACTGATGAAATTATCAAAAGTCGGTAAATTCATTGCTTTTTTTTCGGAATATCTAAAAGTAATACATATTTAAAAGTAAACTTTCACTTTAAGCTGTAATTTGGACGAGTCAAAAGTGTCGAATGATTCAACAGACGGTGATAGAACTGGTGTAATTTTCTCTCTTCCATGCATAGCGTAAATGATTTTTTATCATTATTTTAGACCGTCTGGAATACTTGAAAAGATTAATTGGCCAAATTCCCTTCATTCAATTCAATGTCATCAGCATCATCTGGGTATGAATATCACAGCGAGCTTTTTTACACGTTCCATTTTCTTACTCGATGTTTCTTGATTTTAAAATTTCAGTCAAATCACCAATACCATTGAAGAGCTTCTGTACAACGTGGAAACCTATATTAAAGCTTTGAAACATGGCATCGGTGGTTATGTGAAAAATTTCCATCGAAAAGATATGCCACCTCAGCTGCGTGGACAACAGTATCGCGTCTTTGGCAATGTTAATCGAATCAAAGATTTTCATGAGAACATTTTCTATCCAGCTCTGAAAGAATGCAATATGGACATTGTTAAGATTTGCCACACATTTCTTAATTTCATTGAGGTTTATTGATATTATTAAAGATGATTATTAAGAGATGATTCATTTGTCCTTTGTTTACAGAAAGACTATTTCAAGCAAATTCAAAATGAAATCGTCGATAAGCTTGGTGTGAATAGTTTTTTAGTGCAACCCATTCAACGACTGCCGAAGTACAAGTTGTTATTGGGTCAACTATTTTCGGAACTCGGTAAGCGATTCATTTCAGTGCATGACGATAGTATTAAAAATGAATTGGGTGCATGTTGTTTTTCTATTCACTAGTTGTACACTAGGGTGTTTCTCATATCTGAAAATAAAAAAATGGTAGTCGTTAATTAAAAGTGCAAAAAATTCTAAGACAAATCATGACATTTACACAAAGCATCGACTGATGGTCACGCTTCCCGAAGCAAAAAACTGTTTTCAAAATTGCATGTTACTTACAAAGAAAAAACGCCCCATTTGTACTCCTGCGCAGTCAACAACAACCAAATGGGGTGTCAACCTTTTGCTACGCTACTATCCCACATGGTCGGGATAGCCTTAATAACTAATGTTACAATTGTTTTTTTTTTTGTTTGCGTTGTGCTGATTAGACAGCATGATCAGCTGGCTGCTGGTCGAACTCGAACATTTCTACATCATTATCTACGTTGGCGGCAGCAGCAGCAGCTGCTTCAGCGACATCAGCGGCTACTTCGGCGGCCTCAGCGACAGCATCGCGG